GCATTTCATTTTACTCCAACTAAAATGTCAGGGAGAGAGTGCTTAGAAAGAAAAATTATTGTGTTAATACTTTTCAACAAATAAAATGTATTGCTAATAGTTAACAAACCAATTAGGAATTAAATAAGGAAGTAAGAAATAAATTCATAATGGGACCAGCAGTTAGCGTAATGGCTATGTCGCTGGATTCCCATGTAGTCGACCATGGTTCGAGTCCCAGACCCGGTGGCTTAAACTCACGCCGGGCACGTGTGTGTGTGCCCAAGATCCCGAGAGGAGAATGGAGGAGAAGGGATTGCGGCGTGGCCGGCCCCCCTTGGGGGGTGATTTCTCGCTTTCTGTCTCTCTGTCTCTCTCTGTCTTTCTGGCGCGCGCACACACCCTATAGTGAAAACCTCTCCAAAAAAAAAAAAAAAAAAGAAAGAAATTCATAAGATCATAAAAACTGAAGTTTCACGATGGCACAGAACAAAAACATCCAATAAGCTCTTTGCTTCCTTTTCTCCTTTTTGGAGAAATTCTCAGTTTTATAATATTGATTATAAAAGTTGGGGTTGCAGTCGGGCTCTGGTCAGACTATGTTTTAAGAACTTGATTTTATTTTGCTCATCTGTGAGTTACCTAAAATACAACACTACAGTTTCTTTTACTCGCTATTGAGGAAAACCCTAGTCATCCCTTTAACTTTGGGTGCTTGGTCAGAGAAGCTGGGTGTAAGGAATGGAATGAAAGAAAATTAATTACCTAGTATTAGGTAATTAAATAAAGTGACCCTCACTGACAAAGGAAGGGATTTTGAGATTTCACATTAATAGCTCTTTACCTGGCCTCCTGATCTCCAGAAGTCACTGAAAAGCCACTTATTTCTCCGTTACCTTCACCTTTCTTGTCTCCTTTGTCTGTGTGTCTGTCCAGCACAGATGAGGCCTTCTAACTCAACCGTGCTGATAAAGGCAAGGACATTCGTCCCCAGCTTATTCCTCATACAGATGAGTTCCGACTCAAAGCAGGGTAGAGAGGTGATAAATAACATGCCTGCAAACCTTCCCGTGGACCCAGCTCACCTAGTGGAAAACTCCCAGCCATGACTTCCACACAGCATTAGAGATGCAGGTCATACCTTGACACGATTTTGATCCTTCAGGATTTAATGGAACCCGAAAAGGCAATCCATCATACCTCTTTATCAGATTTTTATTTTAATGGTTCACTGAGTGACAGCCAGTTAACTGGTGAGCTGTGAACATGAATGAAAAAAATAATTTTCGGAATCACCAGTAGAAACATGAGTGAGAAGAAAGAATTTGGATCCATCTCCTCTCACATTTTGGCTGTTTTCTGGGCATTCTGGTCTTGTTTTGAGGGTTACAGCTTCTCAGGGAATTTTCCTCATTAGGAAACCTTTAAAGTCTCCTGGGGTAACTTTGCAAAGAGAGGCCTTTGAGGGTTATGTTGTTCTCTCTGGATGCTTCCTGAAGGCTTTTCACCTCTGGGCCCTAAAGTACTGTTCCAAGCTCACAATTAGGCATTGGTTGGGGATTAAGATATCACCCAGGGAGGACTGACAGCAGGTGAGCTGCCAGCTGGAGCAGATGGAAAGGGGAAGGTGACAAGGGAGCCCCATTTTCATGCAGATGTTCTCGTGCAAAAGCATAAAGGAGCACAGGGGACTGTGCGTGAGTAGGACAGTGAAAATGATTTGCTACAGGGCTTGTTTTAGGTTGGTTTTATATTTCATGTAGGGAGTGGGGCAAGTTTAGGGACTGGGATTGTAACTGCTGAGGTTGGTTCAGTCCTTAGAACCATGCAACTACACGTTCATTTTACTCGTTCTTCATGCATTTCTTGAGTGTCTACTATCTGTTAGGCACAGTACTAGTAAATATCAAGGGTGCAAAGGGCGGTGAATCATGTGGTCTCTAACCAGAGGGAAGAAGTAACCTGGAGAGGAAGACACATGAGTAGTAAGCCCTCTGTGGGCTGGGCTGCAGTGGCCGCGCTGCTAAGACACTGTGCTCCACAGGCTGGAACTACATGAGGGGCTCAGGTTCAATTCCTGGTCCAACCCAAAAGCCAAGCAGTGGGTGCACCTGTAATCCCAGGGACTCAGGGAGGCTGAGGCAGAAGGATCATAAGCTCAAGGCTGGCCTGGGCAACATAGTGACTCTGTTTGAGGCAGGAGGACCATGACACGGCAGACCCAACTTTTAAAAGATAAATAAATAAGGTCAGTCAGTGACATGGAGGTTAAGGTAGATGGATCCCATGCGGTTGACTATGGTTCCAGTCCCTGGCCTGGCAACTTGGAAAACATGCCAGGCAAGTGTGCGTGCCTCACCAAAATCCCAAGAGGAGAACAGAGGAGAAGGGATTGTGGTGTGGTCATCACCCCTTGGAGGGGGGGTGATTTCTCATTTTCCTCTCTCTCCCTTCCTCCTCATCCAGGCGAGTACACGTGCCCTATAGCAAAACTAATAATAATAATAGTAAATAAGCGGATAATCAAACTATTCATGACAAGGCTATGTGCGAGGTGCTGTCATGGAGGTTTGCAAGGCAGTACATGCCAGAGAAAGATATGTCTTCTTTGTTTTTAAGTAAGAGGGGGAGAGAGAGGCAAGGTTTTAGTTAAAAGTTCACATGGTATGGAAAAGTATAGAGTAAAAGTAACTAACAGTTTTCACCTTTTCTTTGTATGTCTTAATCCTAAATTGTGATAGCCATGAAATCAAAGGCTGCATATGTAATTATATTGTTTGGCTTAATACACATGAAAAGAGAACTATTTTTTTAGGGAGGTTTTTGCTATCGGGCGCATGTGCTAGCCAGAGAGACAGAGACAGAAAGTGAGAAATCACCCCTGAGAGGGGATGGCCACACTGCAATCCCTCCTTCATTTCCTCTTGGGATTTTGGGCATGCACACACATGCACCCAGCATGAATTTTAAGCCTCGAGTCCAGAACGTGAACCACAGTTGACTAAGTGGGAGTCCAGCGACATAACCATTAAGCCATTTGCTGGCCCCAGGAGAGCTATTTTTTAAGAAATTATTTATTTAATTTTATTTACTTATTTATTTTATTTTTTAATTTGATCAGAGAGAGAGAAAGGGAAAGTGATGAAGCAAGCTACTAGATGGCCATGAACTGCAGTCAGTTATGTGGACGTCCAGTGCCTTAACCATCATGCCACCTGCTGTCGCAAAAAGATAGACTTATTCTTTCTCCTTCCTTCCCTTTCTCTCTTTCTTGACCTTGGACTTCCCAACCTCCAGAACTGTAAAAAAATAAATATCTTTATAAACAAAAGAAGATAGAACTATTATACTTTAAAAGGTCTTATTCACGTAACTCAACCATCTCACTATCACCAATGTTCTTAGATCACACTTTGGAAAACCCTACCATTTGGCTTCTGAGTTTAGACATGACTGGATGAACCATTGCAGCAAGAGACAACCAACACAAACAAAGATCCCCAAGAGTAGCCATTAGAGAAGGGAAAGACACCATACTGAGAGTCCAAAGGGCCAGGGTCCAGGCCTGGCACTACCACTTACTAACTTGCAACAATCAGCAGTTTATTTGACACCTGTTCCCCTGAGATCATCTTCCAGTCTGTGGTAAGGAAATGATATATTGCCTCTATGTTAAGCAGAGTTGTTATAAGCATCAAATGAGAGAATGTATGCTAAGCTACCGTGCTCCTAAAACTCTTAAGTTGCTACCCATATGAAAAGAATTGATACCATACAGTTTAGCGCTGCTTCCCTGCTTCTTCAGCTCTGTACCATAATGGATGGGGCATTTAATCATAATGGTTAAGAGCACACACTGTACAGTCAAACTGCACAGGTTTAGATACTGTCTCCACCGCTCATTGTTTGACCTTGAACTCTTTAATCAACCTCTGCACACCTCAGTGCCCTCATCCCTAAAATGGGAATACTGTTAATAGTAGATCCTAGGTGGTTTCAGGAGTTGATGCATTCGGGACCAGCAGTTAGCGTAATGGCTATGTCGTTTGGACTCCCATGTAGCCGACCACGGTTCGAGTCCCGGACCCGGTGGCTTAAACTCACGCTGGGTGCATGTGCGTGCGTGCCCAAGATCCCAAGAGGAGAATGGAGGAGAAGGGATTGCATCATGGCCATCCCCCTTGGGGGGGGTGGTGATTTCTCGCTTTCTGTCTGTCTGGTGAGCGCATGCGCCCTATAACAAAAAAAAACTTTCAAAAAAAAAAAAAAAAAAGAGAGAGTTGATGCATTCATCGTCCAGAGAAACAGTTTCTTTCCCTGGGCAGACAGGGGTTGAGAGAGATCAAATCTGAAAATGCAGCACAGCAATCATATTTTGACTGTTAAAGCAGCTGGGATTGCACGTCCAGATTCCCATCTTGGGCTTGGAACTGATGTGTGTGTGCTGGTGGGGGGTGGCAGCCCCTCCCTCTGAGTGCTTAGAAAGCCCAGGCTTTCCATAAAGACTACTCCGTGCAGAGTAGAGAAGGAGAGTGGTTAGGATATGGCTCGGACAAAGGTGCTCAGCTGCTGGCTTGCAGCTGAAGCAAGGGCTGAGCCTCTCCTTGGCATTGTTCCTGCTGTGATGGAATGCACCCTGGGAGGAGCTGGGGCTGGGGCAGGGTGTCAGTGGAGGTGCCAGAGAGCAGTTGTGAATCCTCACACCAAGAGACCAGGGCTCAGTGAGTCCGCCCACCCTTTCTGCTCTTCTTCATTGGAACTGAAGGAGACAGACGAGGGGCTCTTGGAGACAGGGTTTTTATACTGGCCGTGTGGAACTTCCAGGAAAACACAGTGCACGACACTAATCCACCATGAAAATCAGCACCTGCCCGTATGCACTTCGAAGACATTAAAAATGGACCTGGTGGAAATTGGGTCAGAGACCAAATGAACTCTGAAAAAGCGAATTGTCCAGCTGAGCGTCCGTGATTTTTTTTCTTCTTCTCCTGATTGCTCTTTCTCCTCCTCCTCCCTTATAGAAAATGAAGGAGTACCTGGAGGGCAGGAACCTCATCACCAAGTTACAAGCCAAGCACGACCTTCTGCAGAAAACCCTGGGAGAAAGTGAGTGGGGGAATTTTCTGCTGGAGGCCCAGCAGCCAGGGGAGGCCCAGCCCAAGTTTTCTTGCTGTGCATTCGCCTTTCCTCCCCAGCCAGGAGGCCCCATCTTATTATATGAATGCATTTCCCTAGCCTGTTTGATGTGAAAGCACACGCCCCAAATGACTGCTTGAGTAATGGGAAGAGGCCAGTGCTTAATGAAGCACTAATGTGCATCATCTATTTGTTTAAATGGAGCGTGCCTGCTCTCCACCCACTCCCCCTCCTTCGCCTCCTCTGCCTCGACTGGAGTAAAGGGCTGAAGGGTTATTTACTCTCCAGACACTTTGTTCAAACTCCCAGCTGCTCTGTGGCAGGATGGAGGCTGGAGAAGAAGGAAGGGAGCTGTGAGATGAGACCCCCAGCTGCCCTGAGTCGGGGGAGGATCCTCAAATGCAGGAGTGGCAAACAGACTGTAGCTTCCCTGAGAGAACATCAGTTTTCCTTGGCTTTGAAGGGTCCTGGTGCTGTTTAAGAGGCAGCCCTCACTGCTGTGGCTATGCTGAGGCCATGGTGCTGAATGGACTGTCTCACCCCATAGGATGACTTTAACCAGACTCTGGAAAGTAGCAAGGCAGAGAAGGGGCCTGGCACTCTGGACTTTCTCTCCTCGCCTGTCAAACAGAAGGCCAAGGTAGAAAGAGAAGCTTCCCTGGGGCTTTTTTGGCACCCTGCCCACATCTCCTGCCTGGCTCTCAGCATCCTGTGATTAATGGGATTCCCAGGTTGAAATGCCTTTGAATGCCCTGCCCCACTCATCTCCTCACTTAAAGAAGGGAGAGGCTCAGGGGCTGCATGGTGACACCAGTGACAGGCAAACCTGCACTCACGTGGAGGTCCAACACTCGAATTCTTGAGCACTCTTCAGACAAGCTGCAGAGCATCGGAAAACACAATACACTTTGCTCCTTCACCCAAGAATTGGAGTCCCGTATTCACACAGAGCCTCCCACCCACCCTTCTCGCCCTGTCCTTTTTCTGCCCCAGACAACTCCCACAGGTATTAATTCTTTCTGCTCTGATGCCTTTGATCTTAATGTGAAGAAAGCCTGCTGGGTAACTTCTGTTCTCTCCTCCCTCATCACACAAGGGACTCAGACTAAACAGGTTTGAGCATTGAGAGCCAAACTTGGCTTGTAGAAAATCTTTACTCTTGGGTTATCAGATTGCTCCATGGGGAATTAGAGGAAAGAAAGCCCAGAACTATTTAGAACACGCTATAGCTGTGATTTGTTTTGGTCAAGACATTCTAAGCATGGCCCATAAGTAAAACAGGGCCTTGGGGTGTGTCCAGGTGTGTGTGTGTGTGCATGTGTATGTGTGTGTGAGAGAGAGAATAGGTTTTGCTCACATGCATACTGCATTAAAGGGGCTACCATGGAGGGAATGGAGGCTGACCATTCATTAATGCTGCAAATTGCCTCAATCTAAAGATGACACACTCTAGCAATAAAAAAAAAAAAAAAGCTGTAAATCTTCCTGTATGCAAGTCATCATGTCCCTGCTTTCTGTATGTATTTGTCACTGTAATGCAAGAGCCACTTGTTCTTGCCACAGAGGGATAATTGATGTGTATGAATATTCCGTGATGGGAATAGGACAGATGTTGAAAATCATGGCTCAGAATAATATTTTTGCAATGAAAGCAGAGCCTTTGGTAATAAGAGGCTGTTAGGGGCAGGGGGTGGTGTTGCTAAAGATAATCAACAATTAGCAACCTGTAAAAAAAAAAAAAAAAAAAAAGCCCTCCCTTCCCCTCCCCCATCTCTTGGCATTTCTAGGAACTTGGCTGAGGAGGGTAGGAGTGAACGCCCCTTTTCCAGATCTGCTCCTGCTGGGGTTTGCCCCTAGTGTATCTAATACAGATCAAGCTTCACTAACTGTGGATCCAAAGAAAATAACATATATTACATCATGGCCAAGTATACATGCATATATATTTTTTAAAGAATTTTTAAATTTTATTTATTATTAGTATTTCTTTTTTTAATTTGACCAGAGGGAGACAAAGAGAGAGAAGGAAAGTGAGAAAGCAAGCCACCAGGTCCAGGATTGGAACTGCAACCTGCAATGTGGGATTCCAGCACCCCAATCACTATGTCATCTGCTGGCCTGAATATATATATATTTTAAATATAATAATTGGGGACCGGTAGGTGGTGTGGTGGCAGAGGTGCTGGCTTCCACATAGAGCTGACCGCAGTTCAAGTCCTACACTTGGCAGCTTGCTTTCTAACTTTCCCTTTCTGTTTCTCCCTGGTAAAATGAAAAAATAGTAATAATAAATAAAAATAAATAAATAATTCTTTTTTAAAATTTAATAATATTTTTAGGAATACTTTAAGTTTCTCTATTTCATTTTTTGAAAGTGGCTATTACCCATTAAACAATTAGGGCCCACTACTGGATTGAGAACCATGATTTGATAACAATATCAACATTAAATCTCACCTTTCCCTTTCCCTCCTAGGTCAACCTAACAGGGATAATTTAATATAAATCCAAAGCAAGAACATCCACATTTTCTCCCTTCTCTGCCCAAACAACCCTTGTTTCTTTCTTCCCCTCTCAATCCCTTCGTGTGCGTGAGTGTGTGTGTGTTCACATACTCAGGAGTAAGCCAACTGTGTCTCTTCCTGCCACACACACATCCAACATGTACACAAGAGAAGCTGAATTTTATCTCCAGGAAGGCTTCTAATAATTTTTTCCCTAAAGTATAATCTACCTTACTATGTTTCCCCTACATCTACCCTTGGTTTCCTGTTGGGAAGAGGAGCTGACAAACCTAAGGTTTAGCAATATCGGCACTGGGAACCAGCATCAAAACCCCTTCTTGTCCAGGCTCTCCTCTTCTTTTTAGCCTTGCTGCTACACTAGTGGCCCTCTGGGAGAAGGCAGAGCATGCCATTCCTAGGAGTAGGTCTCCTTCTTTCACCCCCTTTTGCTTCAACATATGCTTTTCGCTTTTGTCTTTCCAACAGGTCAGCGGACAGATTGCAGTCTGGCCAGGTAGGTGTGGCCTGGGACAGCCCTAGAAAGGGATAAAGTAAGGCCCACGGGATAGATTCCAGTCTGGGAGGAGCCAAGGAGTTGAGTTGTAAGGGCATTGAATGACTTTGCAAAGGAGTGGCCTGGGTGGGGGGGGTGGACGGAAGGGGATTGCTTCCTTCTCTCTCCCTTGCGGACTTCATTTGCTCTCAAGTAGAAATGGGGTTTGCTATGACT